TATTCCAGAGTGAAATATTTGAAGGCTGTGGCAGGCAGAGTCCCTTTTCAAAAGCATTTACATTAGTACTGCTACAAAGGTCTTGCCCTTTTTGACATGGTATCTGGGCATTCAGAGACCATGTTTCCTGCAGCTTCCTCAGTCCACTGCTATGTGGACAATATTTGTGCCTCCTTCAAAGAGTGGGCTATGAATAAACCCCAGTGCCATTCTCCTGCTTCTTAAGAAGTTATAGGACCAGATAGAGCAAGAGTTCCTGTGTGAAGGGCTGAGTAAAGGGCTCCCTCAAGAACTTCTCACACAAATGCCAAATTCTTAGTGTTTGCAATTCCTGACATATTTAGATGAAAGGCACTATAGAGCTTTCAAGTAAAATATTTTTAATTAAACTTGAACATACACATGCAAGTAGAAACAAGTACAAACATCAAGCAAAGTTGATTGATGAAGTTACATTATCCAACAAGAATCATCTCAATCAGTGTATCTTTCCATATTTAGAACTCCATATTCATCTCTTACATTTCTCAGTTACCTGAAGTATGAATAAAGTTGTCTATCTTCCATTTCCTGGTTTTTGGTTTGTTTTTTTTTCAATTTTTGTGACAGGCTTTCCAAACAAAAAAAACTTGCCAGCTCTTTCTTCAAGCTTTTCATATGAAGCATTTCAGGTTTTCAGGAATTATGATCACTAACAAGATACTGCTTCTAATGCAACAGGGAACACTGAGATTTTTATGCATTCATGAAAAAAACTCATTGTGCAGCTTTCCACAGAGACAAAGATCGGCGTGTTCTTGGTGCAGCGTAAGAACCAGCACTTTCAGGTCTTTGGGACAGACACACATCACTCTGAGCATGGCAGACCATTTTCTGACTAGAGAGAAATCATCCAACAACAACATAAGATGACTGAATGATACAGAGATTTTAAGATACCATCATTTCCCACAGAACCTCCAACTACATGGAAAACATGTTCAGCACATTATTTCATATGATCTTAAGATATTTTAACTTTGTAGCTGGTACGAACCTGTTCTTCTGGACCAAAACCACTCTGAATATATTGGATTAAGGAATTCAATTGCACTTGGTACTAGAAATATTTACTGACAGACTGATCACAGAGAGCCAAAAGACCACCACAAGCAGCCAGGGTGTTAGGAAACATGACTCATCAAGAGAGAGTGAAGGATATTAGTGCTCAGAAATAGTTAAACATCTTTAAAAAGAGACAGTCACAAAGAGAGAGATGAATTCTTTCCCATCTCTCCAAGTATAATACAAATAAACAGATTCAATACTGCAGCAAGAAAATGTGGTTTGATCAACTAAGAAAATTCTCCTAAATATACACATTTGATATTGGAATAGATGGCCAAAGAAACCTCCAATAAAGAGATCTCAGAAAAAGGCTGGACAAATTGGTCAGGAATACTACAGAGTTGATCCCCCCTTCAAAGCAATAAATTACTGCTGCAGTCCTTTCACCCCTATTTTCTATAATTTTATGATCACATTTTGAAGTGATTTATTAGAGTGTTTCTTTCCTACACTCCACAGTCTGTGTTTATTCTTATGAGTATCTTTAGGATTGACTTGAGGCTCCTCAGCAAGCCAGGCCAATCTCAGATGTTTTATTAGTAAATATATTAGTATGAACACTCTGCAAATCCACTGAACTCCTACATGTGAAAAGGACAGCTCTGAGGAAATGCCAAACGCTACACAAAACAAAGCACACTGGATCTATCAAAAGATATTTGGGCTTCCATGGAAAGCACAAAAACCCAAACAAAATTCCAAATCAATGTTCCTGTGCTAAACACTGTCTCATTTTCCAGGAACATAACATTTAAAGGAGTAATTAAAAGGGAAAACTATTCACTGTACTGTCATTCCTGCATAAATTACATGAGTATTAGAAAGGCATGAGCAAATCAGTACTGGGGGAGAGGTGAAGGGTAGGATATGTTTAAAAAAAACCCCGAACATCAACAGATAAAAATTACTGACAGGACTGATCTGTCACCTGCATAGACAGGCTTAGTCTGACATAGAGGAAATGCTGAATCATATTCTACTTTCCTCTTCCTGAAGTATAATAAGCCATAAATTAAGGCATCTTATGCCATCAGGTAAATCAGACAACTTAAAACATTCTTAGAGTTTAATTAGTAATTCTTACAATTCCACAAAAATACTTAAAAAGTAAAATCCTCTCACAAGAGAATATTGTGGAAACAGGCCATTTTACCTTCTAAGGACTAAGGGATACTTCTACCTGGAGGTCAGAGATCTTCAGTAGAACTGCTGTGCCCAGCAACAGAGACAGAAGCTCAGCCTGGTAGAGACACTGCCCTCAAGAGAAGAATCCGTTCTCTTCTGACAGTATTTTTACACCACAGAATTCCCCAATGCACCACACCTTAACTGTTAAACAAAAAAACATCACCAGCACCACAAAGCCATTTAATCCTGGTTCTACAGATGGCCCTACTGAATTTATAAGACCCCTTGCTACCAGTTTCTGGTTTAGGTCAGTTTGGTCTAAAGAGAGTTAGTAGCAGGTCTGGACTCAATCACCTTTTCCAAGTGACAGCTCTGCCAAGGTGCTGTACACAGCTGGCAGGCTGAAAGAGATGGGACTTGCCAAGTCTTTACCAAAATGAATCCAGGAAGCTTCAAAAGGGAACCTGCACTGTGTCTAACCATGAGCCATCTCACTTGTACAAGGGTATTCAAAACATCTCTGCACAAAAGAGCTCTAGAAAGGAAAAAGAGTCCAAGTGGTTAGATGGAGAGCAAGGACAAGGCTGCTTAGCTGCAGGATTGAGCCAGTGCATTCAGGTGAGAGATAGCAGCCACCCCTTTGGCCAAAGGCAGGGAGGGAATGAGAGGTAGCACTACTACAAGCCAAAGAGAATGGGTAGGAAAAATGAGACTTGAATTTTGATTTATATTTGGTATTCAAGCAAAAGTTGTGAAAATAAATAAAGCATGTGGTAGGACTAAACACTAGCAGTGGAAACCAAGTATGATCTATGACCTTGATAGTATTCAGAATCCAGGCAGCTTTTAACTCTTCTTTAAATCCTGTAAAAAATGGACAAGAAGATTGGCTGCCCTGCTGCTCAATTTAATTTTTTTAAACTTGGGTGGTCAAAGAAATAAAGTTACAGATTCAGCTTGTCACTAACTGATTAAAAATTAATCAACTATCTTGATCAGTGTTAAACAGCTAAGTGCAATGCTTGCTTTTATTCTTCCACAGTTGGAAGGAAAACTTAGAATGCCCATGACGATATGAAAACTGTAACAAGGCCACATGTAAAGAACCTCAGTATCTGAAAGTTCAGGAGGATAGAGCAAATCTGCTTCTGTGCACAATGAAGGAGGAGTTACATATGCACCTAATGAAGCTAATTGCTCTTGCTTACCATGAGACTTATCTGAAACAAATCACTACTTACGGTGTTCTGAAATAGAGCACTGTGATAAAAACTATTTCACTGTGAATGCTGCTGTGGGCACTAATAACCATTTGGTATGAAGAGCTATGTACAGTTGTGACTGGTATTGTTTTGTTTCACCACACAATAAAAGAAGTTGTGCATGACTGCTTTATTCAATTATTCATGAATAACAAACCTGTCATACCTCTTGCAGGCCACTGGGATTCCTGCAGTCATACTTATATATAAATATTTTGAGCTCAACAGAATCAATTTCTTTCAGCTTCTTGCACGTTATTCTTCTGTACTTAAGTTACCACGTCTGAGGAATTAGAGCTGACAACAACCTGACGTGCAGGATGTCTCTGTAGTCAGTAAGGCCTTGTGTGTTAGTATTTTGAAAGACCTCGTGGTCATTAAGCAATTCACAATTTTAAGTGTATTTAAGTTTCATGAGCTGTAGAAAAGCATTTATGAAAACAGTAAGACTTTGGCATTACAACTTCCTTCTCATTTCTAGAGAGTAAAGCTTAGCCTCCAAGGCCTTGTTCAGTTTCTGTTAACACACTGTTCACTTCATTACAGATTACAGCAGTTCTGCAAGTTTCCCCAATTAATGCCCTGAATAACTTAAGAAGCATCCTTCCAGAGAAACACCTCCAGTGTGCCACATCACATCCTTCTTTCCTCCTCAGCATTAACCCAAGGACAGACTTCACACTGACAACATCATCTGGCTATGTCCCCTCATCTTAGTTTCTATAGAGACCTAACAAATTAACTTGTCTTTCCATTAAGACAGAAGAAATTTGGATGAGAGACCTTCTAACCAAAACCCCCAGATCTTAAATATGCACACTGCCCTCAAGACCAGCATTGTGAGTCCTCCACGACACCAGTGCTCAAGGGACACACTGCAGATAATAGAGCCCTCATCAAAAGATAAGGAAATCTCATTTAGATGCAGAAGTGAAATGGTAACATTTTAAACCCAGCCTCTTACAGAGAGCATCCCCCTCCAACACACTGCTTACATTAGTTTCACAACAGGCTTCCCAAGAAAATAAAAACAACCTTCCCTCCAGTACCGAAACTACACTAACACCAACATCTTCAGGCAATCAAATTAGGTGGTTTCGCCTGCCAAATCAGCAGAGCTTAGCTTTTTAACCAAACCTGAAATACAGCCACCCAAATCCTCTTCTCTGAGCAATTATCAGACTTACCAACCTTCAGCAAAAGGAGCTCAGTCAAGCAGTCTCTCAGACTCAAGTTACAACTTAAAACTTAGAAGGAGCGTTATTTTGATGTGATTTCAGTGGTAACTGCCTGGCAGTAAGCTGTTACAGGCAGCATTAATTTCTGAGTAACTGCTAACAAATCACAGTTCTGAAAACATAATATATAGACTATTAGGTATGCTAAACCTGCCACTTCCCTCATCAGCGTAGGCCCATTTTTTATTTTGGGATTACACAAAACCAAACACATGAAAACAAACCACGACAAGACACACATATGAGATGAGCCTTGGAAACTTACCCCTCCTGACAATTTAATCACCCTGACTTTGCTGCCGACATGGGGCCCATCACTACCACTGTTTGTCCGCTGCATCACAGTCCTTTTCACACCAGGTTTCTGCTCCTGGGGCCTTGCTTGCACCGAAGCCACTCGAGCCGTCTGCGTCGTGGGCAGCGACGCCGCAGCAGGTTTTGTCTGTAACACTTTCTGTGGTGCCTGAGGCTGACTTGGAGGAACTGTTCTAGTCTGCCTCAGCTGCTTCACCGGCTTCATCTGCTGTCCTGGGTACTGCATATCCCCTGTGCCCTGGGGGAAATCTGTGGGTTTGGGTTGGATATTTGGAACTACTGTGTCTTGCTTTCTAACAAGGAGTCTGTTTTTCACGTTGTGCCTGGTCTGCAAGCCAGAGTGGGGTATGTAAGGGCTGCCATTGGTGGGGAACTCAGAGGAGTCATCCTCGTGCTGCATGTAGGACTGTGGCGTAGAAGGTTGTTGCTGCTGCTGCTGCTGCTGCTGAGCAAGTCTTTCCAGCAATTCTCTCTTCCTGGCCCCAGCCTGCTGCTGCCGTCTCAGCTCCTTCTGCTTCAGGATTTCTTCTCTTAGGCGCTTCTGCTCTTCTATCTTCAGACGATACAACCTGGTTTCTTCATCTTCGTCTGGGTACTACAAAGGAAAACACAAAGGAATTTATAAAAATCTAAATAAATGCTCAACTGGGTCAAAACAACATGAAAATGTTTTTTCAGGTATTGTAAAGCTATGAAGAGGTGTTTAAAGCAGGCCTGATACCAAACCAAGGCTATTAGTGGAGCCTATCTGCTGGTAAGGTTTATTTGCTATTCATTACAGACAAACAGCTCAAATCTGGTTCAGGATTTAGATGTACTACTTCCTAGACAGAAAAGCTTTAATACCACTTGAGAAATCTGATCAGAATGCTAAGAAAAAAAATAAAATTAAAAAAAAGTTTTACAAATTGGAACTAATTTAAAAGTTTCTAAAACCAATTAAACTATTAATATAATTCAAGATATCAAAATATGTTTCAAATGGAAGGTAACAATGCAGAGGCAACCCACTGTCACACAGGTTTTATCTTGCTCTTTTCTGACAAAGTAACAAAAGGTAGGGTGGTAAATGACCTGAAAGGCCCTGATTAGAACTATTGATTTTTCTCACAGAATTTTCAGCCTGATCTCAAACTCATTTGTCACACAATAATTGGTTATAATGAACAGCACAAGTCAATCTCTCTGACCTTGAACTCATGCACTCTCCTCAGAATCAAAATGTTGCCAAATGCAGTGTTGGAATATTAATGGTATATAGAGAATGTCTTTAATATTCCAGCCCTGGGCCTCTCTGAAAGTACTGCACACCACCAAATAACCTTTCTAAAGGCTCTCCAACTCTGGCAGAATGGGTTCTTATGAAAAGCTGTATAAAAATGGACAAGAGTTAAGGAAATACAGATTCTCATCATCCTGGAAACAAAATCAAATGCTTCCTGCAAAACAATCACATGCATTTTTCAAAATCATGAAGCATACTTTTTCATTAGAGTATTTTTTTTCTTTTCAAATGAAATTAAATTAGACTAGCAGAGGCTGCTTACAAATGGTAATGAGCACAACATTCCATTCAAGATATATTAAACAGCCCTAACTAAAATAGGTTCTCAAAGTAACAATACTTTGCATGTTGGCAAATGAGCACATAAAGAATGCTAAAATATTTCTCAAAAACTGGGAATCTGTGTTGTCAACACAACTGCCATTTTTTTTTGCACATGTGACCCAAATGTGTGACTTTTTTGTTGAACACTTTTTCCTTCAGCTGTAAGTAATTCTTCCTCGAGCAGGTTCTGATAGGATTATTTCTACAGTTACTGAAAAACAGTCGCATGTCTCACATACTAAGTCCAGTCTAAACAATGGCTAAATAAGGCTTCAACAAACCTGGATTTCTAGAATTTGCAGTTATTTTTTAAATATGGGCTGTAGTTCAGCAATGAGGTCTAACATGGTCCTTTGTATGAAAATGCTTCATATACCAGAAAGTTCTGATCATCCTCTACACCTTTTGGACTATAATGTTGGTGATTAAAGTCTGATCACTGTGACAACTAGACTACAGGTCTGTGTTCACAGATGGGAATGAGAAGGCACTGCTACAGC